AAAGAACGGAGGTTTTCTTTTGCGCGGTAAAGAACATAAGTTTTCTTTTGCGCGGCAAAGAACGGAGGTTTTCTTTTGCGAGGCAAAGAACGGAGGTTTTCTTTTGAGCGGCAAAGAACTGCACGGCAAAGAACGAAGGTTTTCTTTTGCACGACAAAGAACTTGGGGCAGGAGGGTTCGGGTTCTATGCCAGGAGGGTTTCGCCGGAGGTTTTCTTTGCTTTTGCTTCTGTGCCAGGAAGTTTTCGCCGGAGGTTTTCTTTGCTTTTGCGCAGCACAGCACTTGGGGTGGGGGCCGGAGGTTTTCTTTTGCGGCACAGAGAAATTGGGGTTTTCTTTTGGCGGCACAGAGAAATTGGGGGTTTCTTTTGCGGCACAGAACTGGGGGCAGGGTTCATGTTTTGTGGGAGGAGGAGGTTTTCTTTTGCGCGGCACAGAACTTGGGGGCTTTTCTTGTAGGGTTTCTTTTGCTGCATAGAACTTGGGGCAGGGTTCAGGTTTTGTGCCAGGAGGAGGTTTTCTTTTACGTGGCACAGAACTTGGGGGGTTTTCTTGCAGCACAGAACTTGGGGCAGGGTTCGGGTTCTGTGGCTGGAGGTTTTCGCCGGAGGTTTTCTCTACTTTTGGGTTTGGGTTCTGTGCCAGGAGGTTTTCGTCGGAAGTTTTCTTTGCTTTTGAGCAGCAAAACCCTTGGGGGCTGGAGGATTTCTTTTGCGCTGCCGCAAATAATTTGAGGCCGGAGGTTTTCTTTTGCGGGGGAAAGAACTTGGGGCAGGAGGTTTTCTTTTGCTTCGATATCGGCAAGAGGTTTTCTTTTGCGCGGGAAAGAACTTGGGGCAGGAGGTTTTCTTTTGCTTTGATATCATGTTAAAGTTCGAGAGAGCCTTGAATGTAAAGAGAAGAAAAGAAGAGAGATAACACAAGATTATGGAGAGAGAAGAAGAGAGATAACACAAGATTTACGTGGTTCAGGCCAAAGTCTTACGTCTATGGATACAAAGCCCAATAGCTATATCTTCCTTATTTGGATCAAAGATTACACAAATACGTGCCTCTTTGTCTATCTGCAACAGACTAGGGGTAATGGTGAGGGGAGAGAGAGAAGAGAAGGGTAAGGTGGGAGAAGAAATGTCAGAGCATTAAATGCATGGAAAGCATGTAATGCATAGGGAGGGAGCTTTAAAACGATTTCAAATGTAGGCAAATCGTCCATTACATCACAGTTAATCCCCGCTGTTGGGTGCATATCTCTCATATGTTCTAGTGGGCTAAACTCATTCCTAACCCTTTCAAACTTTGCAGCTCTCTTTCTCTCTCATCTTGGAAGCTTGGGGCCCTCTCTCTATTCCCAAAGCTTGGGGCCCTCTATCTATTCGCATTCACAGTAGGGCTTTGAAGCCTTCAATCTTTCTCTCGTCTTGGAAGCTTGGGGCCCTCTCTCTCTTGAACCTGATTTACAACAGAGCTTTGTAGCTCTCTATCTCTCTCTCTCTCATCTTAAAAGCTTGGGGGCCCTTTCTCTCTCTAACCCCATTTATAACAGGGCTTTGCAACCCTCTCTATCTCACTCTCTCTCTCCTCTTGGAAGCTTGAGGCTCTCTCTAACCCAATTTACAACATGGCATTACTCTTATATTGGAATCGTGGGCACTCTCTCTCTCTCTCTCTGACCCCATTCACATTAGTGCTAACTCATTCATTGAACGGCTCCTCTGTCTTGTCTTGGTAGCTTGGGACCTCTCTCTCTAACCCATTCACAGCCGGGCTTTGCAGCTCTCTATCTCTCTCTCATGTCTTGAAAGCTTGGAGCCCTCTCTCTCTCTCTAACCTTGTTAGCATATGGATACTTTGTTAGTATTGATATACATCATTAAAGATGCAAATATATATCTCTTGATAAGGTTAGATGTCAATAGGTATCTCTTGAAAGCTTGGGCCCTCTCTCTCTCTAACCATATTAGCATATGGATACCTTGTTAGTATTGATATATATCATTAAAGATGCATATATATCTCTTGATAAGGTTAGATGTCAATAGGTATCTCACGTTTAATTAGTAATTATCCATAATCTTTGGTATCGATCCAGAACTGTTATTTCTGTATATTTGGGCTTTAGGCCCCGAATAGAACAATATTTCAGAAACTCTCTTTATTAATTAATCAAGAATATACAAGACTATACCGCTAATAACAGTTTTGGATAGATACCAACGGTTATGGATTATCACTAACTAATCTTGAGAAACCTATTGACACCTAACTTTATCAAGAGATGTATATGTATCTCTAATGAAGTATACTACTACTAACAAGATATTCATACGTTAACAAACTTCATTAGCAACAGGGCTATATAACCCTTTGTCTCTCTCTCTTTGAAGCTTTGAGCCCTCTCTCTCTAACCCCATTCTCAGTAGGTCTTTTTTGCTATGGATGAATCCAACATTATAGGTTTCAAAGCTGGTCTATTACACATTTGTCTCAAGAATCGCTGGAAGCTTACCAGTGGCACTTTCGAGTCCAAGTGCCAAAAAACAGGTAGGCGCGGGGTGGCCGCTCAACCGCCCTGCACATCCGGTCCCCAACCCCTCTCTCGCAAGAGATGTCTCGTGTAGTGTTTCTAGGATGAGTGAGCAATCCAAAACTGAGAAACATGATAACAAAGAAAAAGAAAATCGAGTGTCGCCTAACAATCACAATGTCCCGATAACGGACTCGAGACGGTGAACTTCATAACCTTGATGAAAGTCAAGAGGATCAAGAGATGGAAGAATTTCCCCAACCTGAAGAGCTCGAATCCCACGTCGAACAATTCAAGAAGCGATTCGACAGTAACTCAATGGCTACCATCGAAGAGACAATCGACGTCAACCTGGGATCCAAAGGAAACCCATGATTGATCAGGATTGGAATTTCTCTGTCACCCGAAGAACGGGAAAACTTGATCTCCTTTATCAAGGAATATCGAGATGTCTTCGCCCGGTTCCTATAGGCCATTTGCTATTTCCCACTAGGGTTAAATCCAGATCTGGTGCAACATCACCTTGTTTTCCATGAAGGAGCCAAACCAGGGTTAAATCCAGATCTGGGTTAAATCCATATCTGGTGCAACATCACCTTGTTTTCCATGAAGGTGCAACATCACCTTGTTTTCCATGATCATCATATCTATTATGATTTCCCTTTTTATTGAAGGCTGAAAATAACCATGGAAAATTCTCGGTTCTATTGAAGGCTGAAAATAACCATGGAAAATTCTCGGTTCTATTGAAGGCAGAAAATAACCATGGAAAATTCTCGGTTCTATTGAAGGCTGAAAATAACCATGGAAAATTCTCGGAGAAAAAGTGCTTTTAGAGAGCTTTGTTTTGTTTGGCCTTTCCATAATCTCCATCTTTGGCGTACCTACTAGGATACGCGAGGTGGGCTAACCTTATACTTTCATATATATATATATATATATGAAAAAGTTTATATAGAGCCGTAACTCTGAATGTTGAACTTGAGCTGCAGCTACTTTCACCGTTCATTAACTCAGACGGTAGTGATTTTGCACGCCGCCTAAAAAGAAACCGGGGCGTTCCGGTTACCCATCACGTCTTGAAGAACCTGACAAAAAAAAAAAATAACACTCTCGCACTTCTCTCTCTCTCCCTTCCCTCAATCTTCTCTCTCTACACCTCTTTCGTGCAATCTTCTCTCTCTATCCGCTCTCAACTTTCTATCTCTTTTCTCACGCTGTCCCTAATGCTCCTCCCTCAATCTTCTATCTTTCACGTTTCTCTCTCTAAATTTTTTGGTTTTTACCTCTGCCTCTATTCTCTGTTATTCTCTTTGTTTTTCCTTTTTATCTTTTATTCTCTCTCCGGTTTCCCGGTTTCAGATTTAAAATCCAGTGCAACATATCCATGGTCTATTTTATTGGATGGTAGATTAGAGTGAAGCTCTTATTGTGAGATTTGAGCTTCGGCTATGTCTTGGCTACCAACCCCTCCTTACCCAGTACATTCAGGGACGGCAAATGAAATGGTTTGTCCACTGTTTCTAATCTTGGGATGGATTTGGAAGTACAACCATTCTTTCTCTCAAGAGAGTGGTAAGTTTCATCTTCACTCTCTAAACTTTTGGGCTTTCTCTCTCTAGTGGATTTGAATGGATGAATTGGAGTTTTTATTTTCCATCATCAACAGTAGAGGTTGGACTTTGAAGTACAACCATTTTATCTCTTAAAAGGGTGGTAAGTTTTATGTTTCTCTCTCTAGGATTATTGGGCTTTTTATCTCTCTAAACTTTTCACTGTTGGCTTTAGGCCTTGATTTAAGGTCACCTTAAAACAATGGCGAAATGATTTTTCATAGATAGCATTATCAGAAAAATGGCATGCTCTAAGGCTTTCTTGTAATTTTTGGTTGCGTACCTCGATTGACCAGCAATTTACCTTCTTATATAATTGCATTTTATGGATATAATTTTAGCCTACGAATGGATTAACTTGCATTTTCTTTTGCAATAAGATAATTTGAATATTAAATGCTTGGCAAGTTTCTTAGATCTAGCTCTTATAGTTGCTGAATTTAGGCATTTCAATTTTCATTTGTTGTTTTTTTATCTTATCTTCGTAAAGGGATATTGATGTAAATTATCTTTGAAGTTTAAACTGGATTGTGTGACTTCTTACTCTTTTTTCTTCTGATTGATTTGAATCCTTGTTTCCCTCTATGCATTGCAAATGGTATGATTATACATATTTCTTTCTTGTGAGCTTACTTTGCTACTTGGATGTTATGGATGTCATTTACTTAATATTGTCTAGTATTGGAACCTAGTATATGGAAAATTGTTACTTGAAAATTTATTGTTCAAACACTCAAATATTACTAAGTTGTTATTTTATGCATATTTTGGTACAGGAGGGCCAGTATTGAGGGCACAGGTAACCTTCCAAGGGAGCACAAGTAATCCTCAATGGATCATAATTGACACCACGGAACCTTTTTTTACCTTTTTGAGCTTATGGTTCATTGTATCCTTTTTGTATCTATTGTTCAGTTAGTTTTTTGGATGTATGGTATTTTTTGAGTTACCTCACCTTTTTGGACAGAGCACCCAGGTTGTGGGCTGCCTATTTTTTATGTACTCTGCATACTTTCTGTTTATACTTATATTAACAATTTTTTGAAAAAAATACATATCTTTTTTGCGAATAGAGTTTTGGATGCTAATTAGATCTCTTGGGGGTGTATAACTACATAGCTTCTTTGTGTAAATTTTAAGACGATTTGAATGTGGTAAATAGTGTGCTATCGTTTTGATTCATGCAAGTACTGGTTGTAGGATTTTTATGTTCATTGAATTTGTGATGAGCCCATTGTTGTGATGTTAAGACGTTCATCCATCTGTTTCAACATGTGTTTCATGTGTGATTTGGACTATGTTTGGATAAGTTGCAGGTCATACATAATATGATTGTTATTGCAACTATGGGTCTTTTTGATTTTTGACCAAATGCTGCTACTTTACTTCATAATGTGTTCATAATATGTATATGTTGATCTCAGGGTTAGCATATATAGGATGTTAGTAACATGTGTTGCAAGTCATATGAGCTATATGCAACCTTATGGTGGAAGTCTCTGTTATTTCATGTCTAGCTTCTTGTTGTGTAACTGTTCCAAAATTTTTTCCCTTTTTTATCATACTTTGTACATACTCACATATTGAAATAGATCAAGTATGTAAATTGAATAAAGTTGTGTAGGAGCTAGAATCTCTTTCAAATTCAACATAGTTTTGATCGTTGGCAGACTGTTGATGTTTTGTACTTGGCTTCTATGTCAATGGTTAATGCAGCCCCTAGTTTGAGAAGACTTCATCACAATATTTGCTACCAACTTGTGCTAGGTTCAGTCAGTCCATTATGCAACAAATTGCCATGCAATTAGCTCTTCATATTTTTTTTGGCATTAGTGAACACACTATTAACAATTATTTATATACTTCTGGCAGCGTGTACACACTTTTAACAATGTGCATATGTTGATTTCAATGCTTGTATGTTGTTGATAATGTGTATATCATATGAGCTTCTTACTTTGATTAATAGCTTGACTTGTAGGCTTTATTTAGAGTTTGTGTTGTTTAACTAGAATATATGTTGATTAATACAAGTCTAGGATGAGTTGCAGGTCATACATACTACGATTGGTTACTACAACATTTGGTCTTGTTGGATTAGGGCCTCACAATGAGGTCTAGAGCTATTGCTTGCATTTGAAGAAGGAGATTGGGCCTCACAATGAGGTCTAGAGCTATTGCTTGCATTTGAAGAAGGAGATTGGGCTTAAATGTCGAGCGGCATAGATTGGTCTGTAGAAAGTACAACTAAGACAACAGGAATTTGGATCGGCATAGATTGGCCTTAAATGTTGCAGCATCGCAATTGTTTGATATTCTATGGCAAAAAGTTTGGCAACTATTTTGAGGGTCTCCACTTTATTGATATGGGAATGTAATAACCTTTTCATGATGACAAGTGCTTGTAAAATACTATGCTATCAATTGATAAATGTGTAAATTTATAGACGATTTCAGTTTGTTAAAGAATGTGTTATTTTGATTGATGCACGTATTTGTTCCAGGATTTTTATGTTCATTGAATTTGAGTTGTGCTCATTGTTGTGATGTTGAGATGCTCAAACAATTGTTTATAATTATTGCTTATTTTTCTTGGTCATGTATATATTTCAGCAGGGGTTTAATGTTTGATTTGAGTAAATGGATTGAAAGGACAGTATTAATATAGCAAGGCAAGTTATGCCAGCAAAATCTTAACTATCTTGTTGATCTTCAATTGGTTGGATGATGGGGATTTGTTTTGTTCAAATTTGCGATGGTAATTAGCAAGTAGAGAGAGAATCTTAGCTCTAGAAGTTTCTAATCCTCAAGAGAGAGAAAGAGAGACAATCTTACCTACATAAGTTCTAAATTTGTGTATGTGTTTGAGAGAGAGAGAGAGAGAGATGGTGGGGGTTTTCAACCAAACGTCTCTATGTTGTAAGCGTCTTCTAAATATTTTCTTAACTTGCACAAGAGAGATGGTGGGGTTTTCAACCAAAGGTCTCTATATTGTAAACATCATTTAAACATTTTCCAACTTGCATGAACCTTTTGTTCTTTGTATAGACCTTCCAAAATCCATAATTCATCTTTAATTTCCACTATTTGAGTCTTGCTAGCAAACCTTCTTTGTTTCAATCTATTTATTCTCTCGTCTTCCTTATGAAGCTTCTTATTAATGCTAAAGAATAAGCCTATGGTGTTTCCATTTCCCGTGTACTCAGACAAAGTAAGGGAAAACTAATATTGCCATTGAAAAAATTTGGTGCTCCTTTGGAAGCTTGTTAATAGAACAAATATGGTTGTATCATATATTTGACTCGGATACCAAGAATATGGAGAGAGAGAGAGAGCCATCCAATATCAATCCACACATCACCCACAATATAGGGAACATCGACAAAAAAACCATTTGAATTAGCAATAACAAGGCGAAAAATCCACTCAGAACACGATCAACGTGCTTACACTAGCAATAACAAATATGGAAAACAAGACACAAATATTCCATATTTTTTGTACAAAATTACAATCAGGCTCTATGGAGAATCCACATGCTTTAATTTCCCGTCCTGGGAATTCATCACCATCAATTTGAAGTCCACTTATCCCCGATAAAGCATCATCATCTGCTGCTGCATGCCATAACATCTTCAATGAGCAATCAAGCGGTGAACCAATTCAGCACAATAGAAAGAGAGAGAGAGAGAGAGAGAGAGAGAGAGAGACTATGCAATCCACCATCTTAGTAATAAAAAATA